CTCAGTATCTCTTGAGTGAGCCATCCACTGCCTTCCTTAATTTGTGTGTTCCTGCTACCTTTGCTGGCACTTCTCCAGACCACAACATTCGTAAGATTGCAGTAAAACTCTGTAAGTTGTAAACCTGATCAAAATACTCTACACATAGTGTACTACCTCCTTATCTTAGATCTTGCTGGAAGCACTGCATGGAGCCAGTGTGTGACATGACAGCCTGCCTCGGTGCTATATTCTTTCCTAAGGAGGCAGCTACTAATTAATTACACTCAGTCTGACACACTGTCAAGCTGGTCACCCACGACCCTCAGCCAGCTGCTCCCCTTGCATCAATCTTAGCAAATATATAGACTTAGGAGAATGCAGGGCAGCCTGCTGATCTGACAGAAACCTAACCCAGTGAAAGGAAAAGTTTTCTATATGATCCCTGAAACCACAGGAAATTGGGAGCATCTTCTTACACTCTCTGGGAAGCAACATACCTGCTGTGAACCTATCCCTTGCTTCAGCAAGAGGGAGCACACTTTCTATCTGATTCTCTTTTCCTCCACCTGTGGCTGTGCTTGCACTTTCCACTACTGGCAACAGCCAGGCTGCCCTGAAATACCGAGCAGAGCTCTCTCCCAGGGTTACTGACTATCTCAAGGGAAAAACATTCAGATTAGTTAGTGTCTGTAAGCTGCTTGGTAAGAAAAACAAAACAAAACCACAACAAAATCCCATGTGTTAGGGAATTGCTGCTCTCCCCAAGGCATCATTGTAGATTCCTGGCACCCCACCACTCACACTGTGATCTGTGGGAAACTATAGCTCCCAGTTATTTTTTGGGTAGTCTACTGAAGTTTCTGCCCCCTTCCCTATTCTTTTTATTCTGCAAAAGCATAAGGCCAACAGTTCTGAGTAGGAGAGCAGGACTCAGCCACCTCATTCCCCTCCTGCACAGACCTTTCACCCACATTCTTTCCTGGGTAGTGGGAAGACCATGAGGCCCCTGCTCCCCAGTGTCACCCTGCTTCTGAACAGACTCCCAGAGAAGCACTTTCTCTTCCCTTTGGCTCAGACCTGCAAGTGCAGGGCAAGTTTTACCCCCATCCAGCACTTCACTCCTGAGCCTCTCCAGCTGTCTTTCACAGTAACTTCATGCCCTCAGACAACAGGACTTCTGTACTGAAAAAGTGTTCCTGGTAGTATGACTCCAAGAACAAGCCTGATCATCATCCTTTGCTCACTTGGATGATCCTGGGGACTCTGTCACTGACAGAGGTGGGTAACAGCAAGGCAAGTTCTGATTTGGCAGCTACATCCGGCTCGGGATCTGGTGTCACAGCAGTCAGGAAAAAAGAGGCAGATGTCAGATGTGATGTAGATGGATAGGGAAGTCGAGGGCCAAAGAGCAGTCTGCCAGTTCGGAGCTCAGAAATTCAGCACCAAAGCACATGACATGCAAAAGAAACAGATGCAGGAAATAGCAAGAACTGTGCAGTGACAGCACGCGTTCGCAGGGAACAGCCAGCAGCAGGAGGTCCTTCCTGTACTGACAAAGGCAACAAAAAGAAATTGACTGTTTCTCAGACTGGCAGCGTGCTCTTCCTGCTGCTTTTATGTAAAACTGATGGACAGGATCAGCAGCCTTGACAGGACTTGGAGCAACCAGCATGGGCTTGGAAGGCCTGCAAGGGACCCAGCTGAAGTAGAGAAGCTTGAGTCACCCTGCTATAGCAAGACACCGTGCAGTGAACAAAAAGCGTGCACCCTCCACAGAGGAGAGGAGCCTGCACTGTATCTTCCCGTGTCTCCTCGCACATACAGGCGGAGACAAAGCGTGACCCTGACCTATTGCCCTCTGAGGCTGCCTTGGCTCCTCCTACACATATGCTGTTTCTCTCTTATCTCAAGCCCCAGCAGGGGTAACGCCAGCACAAACAGACTCCATCCCTCCTAACCCCTGAGTGACATCTCCATCACACCACCAAGCACAGACCTAGGAAGAGCAAAGCCAGCAGATCAGGGGAGGAGTACTACACACAGATGGTAACAAAGTAGGAGCAAGCAACTCAGGTGAAGACTGCTCAAGCCAACATGAACACCACCACTCCCTACACACACTCATTACTTGAACTTGCTCCTCTCTGTGACAAGATGCAGCTTACACAGACTCCACCCTAGCACCATACACTCCCTCTCCTGTCCTTCCATCTAGCTTCACCTGTCAGGGCCCTAAGTGCACTAACAGGCCTTAAATGTCCTAAGCAGCCTCACTTAGGGCCTCTTACCCACAACCCCTGCCCATGGGTGTGGGTGTGTTTTCATTTAAGCTCAGCCCAGAGCCACCAGTTTCTGTCTAAGCTAAATTGGAGGAGTAGTGTTCTCTGTCTGTGCCTTGTTGCTCCTGACCTGTAGGCTGGCTTACCAGGCTGACCTCAGACTTGCCATGTCACCATAGATGCACCTTACAATCCCTGGGCCTGATCCTGACCTGTGGTTTGACTTCCCAACTTGACCAGGCTACCTCATCACCAAGAGCTTGCCTGGCTATCTCAATTCTTGGTCAAACCTGGCCCTGCCTGGCTCTCCTTGCTCAGGTATTGTGGGAAGGGTCATGGCTGATGAGGGCCCAGGCCAGGTGGCTGTGGGAACACCCCCCTTACAGCTCTCCTTCTCCTGGGGTGCAGCCAGGCCTTGCTGCACTCTGACATTGTCTCTCCTGGTATGACTGCCAGGACAGCTGCACCATGAATGGCATCAGGGAATTCAAATAGTTTAAAAATAGCTGTGAGGAAAAAGCTATCAGTTACTTTTACCTGAACTGATTCCCCAATACTGCTTGTGTAATCTCAGAAATGGGCATATAGGCACAATTAAGGTAGTAGAATAAGAGCAACAGACATGGGGGCTACTTAAGACAAGGCTGCTGCCAAAAACGAGCCCTGGCAGGCTAGATCAGGCTTCACTACCCAGTTCATCTCAGACTAGCTCGAATCAGCTGTGTCAGCCAGAAGCCTCTCATCTTACTGTAAGGCAATGTGCCTCCCATATCAGGTCTCATTTTGATCATGTAGTTAAGAGCTTTGCTGATTCCTGGAACACAAGCCTTCATACCCCTGCTAAACCTGCAGGGGATTTTCTGCAGGGTGTTTTTGCCCAACAACTCAGTTGTTCCTGACTGCATTGGTATGTCCTAAGGCTTTATGGATCTTGCTAAGATCATGGATCCAAGGTTCCCATTGCAATGAATTCTACTGTCTACCTTACATATCTGTGGAAATGTGTGAAAGGAAAGCCTTTAAACAGAAATTTGTATTGTCCAGATATTGGTGCGTTTAACTGTTCCTTGTAGTGACAAGCTGGTGCTGCAGAGCAATCTCCTTTTGGAGGTAAGGAAATCCCAATCTAATCCATTTTAATAATACCATGATACTGATTAGCTTTTGTTGTTGTTGCCCTTCTGAACCTCTCATTGCTCTGCAGTTGCTTTTTTTTTTTGGCTTGAAACAAAGAAATTGACTCAACACTAAAGTTTTTTACTGTTAAGCAGATATTCTTAATTAGCAGCACTGGGGTCACCCTGGGGATTCTCCACCATAAGGGCTTCCCCGAGTTAGTAAGGGACATCAGTTTACACACATAAAAGTCATATATATTCATTAGATTTCCTGGGAAGGGTTGTCTTATGGTAATGAGTTCTCAGAATCATTTACATAAGTTGACACCCCTTTAAGCATGCATCCTAAGTTCTATTGGGGTCTTTGGCGGTCAAGGGAAGAAGTAAGTAGTCTTCCTCATGGTGTTTGCTAGTTGACCTTCTTTCCAGAACATGCGCTGTGAACTAAAGTTCCAGTGTCGTCTTCTGAAATCAGCAAAAATCATCCTCCTCATTACAGAGTGTCTGTATCCTTTTGAGTCCCCCCTATCTTAGTTTGCACATGCCAGTTATTGTCTAAGTGTCCATTGAAGGTCTTGAGTCTTGGTTATCAGTGATTTACGTAGGAAGCCTAAGGAGCGTCTTAATCTTACCTAAAAGGACAAAGGGGCCTAGGGAAACGGGGAGTCTTGGGGAAACAGAGATACAGATGAAGCAAAACACAAGCAAAGCTTTCCTGTATTAGGACAGTTTAGTCCTAAACAAGGACTGTCATGAACTCAGTTGCTTGAGCTCTTTCAGGCTAAAGCATGAAATGGGCTGTATGCCATTGACTTTCAGTTCAAAGCACAACCATATTTTTTTGTTTTCAGATTATAACTGAATGACTTTCTATCCCATTCCCTCCTGCTTCTGGGCAGGTAATATAGCACCTTAAGGCCCTGACACCATCTTTGGTCTGAAGTAACAGCTTCCCTACTGCACAAGACTAGGCAGTGCTGCTTGCTGCTCTTGAGAAATCTCCAGCTAACTAAAGAATTTCCAAGTCTGTTCACTCGTGTGGTGGTGTACCAGGTCTGGTGGCCTGAGGTCCAGCTGCTGCAGCAGGTGACACCTGTAAGCACTCCTCTGAGCTGCTTCTCAGGTAGCAGCTGACCCGAGACAGGCGTTGCCTCTCTGCTGTTCTACAAAGCCTCTCCGTGGCCAGGAGGAAGGGCACAGCCAGTAACGCTCCCCGAGATGGCCGCTGCCTCCTGGTGTCTGAAGGGGCTGGGGCAACACCTTGAGCAGCCAGAGCTGACCGGGGCTCGGGCCTGGGCACGTCCCCGTTCCTGTTCAGACGCACGAACGGGTTTGCAGAGGCCGTCGCAGTGGACGCGCTGATGGCGGGGCTGGCGCAGGGCGCCGAGGAGGGACCCTGACCCGAAACGCCGCCCCTGAGCCCGGGGCAGGTGGGGACTCCCGGCGAGCAGCCCGGTCGGG